TTTTCCTCGGGAGCCGATTTCTTCGAATCTTCAGGACACTCCTTCTTGACTTTGGCCAAATTAGTGCCACCTTGTGCTTCCAAGAATCGATCAGCTAATTCAAGCCTGTCTTCAAGTGACTTAGCTCTCCTCTCTTTCAAGTACAGTGACAGGCTTGGGTGGCAACTAGTAAGAAATTGTTCTCTAATTAGGAGCTCTCTAAGTTCATCGTACTCCTGCGCTGTCCCTGAAAGTTCAATACATCTGTCGAAATAATGGCTAAGTCGGGTGGCGTACTGTGTAGCCGTCTCACCATCAGCTGGCTTTCCTGTCCGTAATCTGTCCTGGAATCCTTCTACAGTAAATCTAAATCGCTTCAGCAAAGCAGCTTTCACCTTTGCATAGTTGGCTGCATCGGTCGGCGTCTGCCTACCGTACACACTGAGCGCTTCACCACTCAAGTAAGTACTCAAAGCAGTTGCCCATTGATGTTGCGGCCAATTCTGGCTCCTCGCAATCGTCTCAAATTGGTGAAGGTACGCTTCAAGGTCGTCTTTCCTTTCATCAAACGCCACGAGCAGCTTGCTTGGGTTCAAGCGGAAGCCATGATCTTCCCGTTTGCTGCTTTCAACTCTAGCTTGGACGGGAGTTTCACTTCGCTGTTGCAAACGGAGCCGCTCGAGTTCCATCTCGTGTGGTCGCTGCCGTTCCCTTTCCTCTCTTTCTTCTTTCTACTGCCGCTCCTTTGCTTCTCTTTCTTCCCTCGCCCTTTCAGCTGCCAACTTTTCTCTCTCCAGCTCCAATTTCAATTGCTGCTCTTTTTCTTCTTTCGCTCTTTCAGCTGCCAACCTCTCTCGCTCCAACTCAGCTGCTTTTTATTTCTTGGCTCTCTCAGCTGCCAACCTATCTCTCTCCACCACCTCTTTCTCCTTCTGGCTTACCCACTTCCGTAGTTCGGCGCCAGAAAGACCCATCTTCTCACCACGAGCTACTAACTTTTCGAGATCCATTTTGTCTCGCAAATAAAATCTTGCCGCGTGTAAAAAGTATCTGCCTAAATCAGTCTATCGGAACACTCCCCTGCACTCGTTAACGAGAACACAAAATCGTTCCGATAGCACTATCAACACTCGAGACTCTTTCTCACTACTTTGGACACACTGGGCACCAAAAGGTCCTGTCGCGGACGCGAGAATAATTGTCACACACAGGTCCCGTAATTAGGGAGGCGATCGCCGGCCTAATTCCAAGGGCCGAAGTATCAGCCCCCCGAACCGCACCACGAAAGCGTGGACAATTTAGAAGTGGTCCTTTTTGGCGCGCCAGCGGACGCCGGCTGTGGCCCAAAGAACAAGTCAGAGCCGAGAGTTGATAAACAAACAAAATTATACTCTCATTAACGGCAGATCGAAAACAACACACAAGAATGCACACTCCACAATAGTTGCATACAATATATCACCAATCAAACAACGTACTACACAGTACAATCAGCCACACTCGAAACAAAGGACACAGACAACAATACGCACTACAATGCAGTCGCATGCATTGAACAACCAAAACACTTAAAGACTAAAGATATAGAAAACCTATTCAGCCCAAAGTTCTTGGAACAAAAGTCTGAATGATACTCTTCCGAGAATCACTCACTCAAAGTCCAGCCTTGTTGCCGTTCCGCTGCCCCTGAGGTTTCTCTTCCAGGAAACCTCGCGTCTTCAGTTGGCCTCTCTCCAAGCTTCAAACTTCTTCGCCGGAAACACGTCGGCTTCACACACGCAGCTGTTGCCACGCGTCTTCGCTCGATAGCGGTAAACACACGCTCTTGCCTGTAGCTCGAGCCTTCACCCCTCAGGTGGAAATCCTCTTCATCTCCTGCTTTGTCGCTACGGACAAAACCTTCGCCGACTACACGGCGGAATCCCTACGCGCTCTGGCGCTAACTTCCGTCTTCTCCTGCTTTCTCTCGTCTCGGCTGCTCGATTGAATACCTTCCGCGCGAAATTTCAGAAGGTTCTCGTCATTTCGTCGGCGCGATACGCAGCGAAGCCTGGGGAGATGGCGAGACGGTTCGAATGCCCTCCGCGTCGGATGACTCACCTCGGCATGACCACGCCTCTTTCGTTCTAGAAATTTCGCGGGCTTGCTCGGCCACTGATGATGGGGTGAGGAGGTTCGTCGGCGAAGCCACGCTTCCGAGGGGAGAGCGCGCGCCCGGGGAGCCTTGGATGTTTGTTTCTTTTTTTTCTTTTGACCTCCCGGCGTCTCTCCCGCGCGTTATCGCAAGACTTTGGCGGTGCGCCTATTTTTAGCGCTCGTTCTGTGACACCTGACGAATTGTGGCACGCATGCTTCGTTTGCTCGTCTTCCCTGGATGATTCCAACCCAGTAGGCGTTCGCTTTTGTAGAGGCTCACTTAGGCACGACTTGTGCGAATGACGTACTTGAGAGCACAGATTGAGTTTATTGTTCTAGAAAAAGCAGTTGCAGAAGTCTTGCGCGTTACCACAACGAATATGCTTGCTCTCCTTCTCGTTCTGCTTCACTAATATTTTCTTTTGTTCAGCCGGTTTACTTTGCAATTCAGGGAATTCACACCCGAGTATCTACCTCAAGCTTTCAGTATTACTGTTTGCTTGGCCGCTAACTGTCACCCCAGAGTGACATGCAAGCAGTTTGAGAGCTCAGAATTTATTCTATAAAAAACGCTTTGAATGACTTTGCTGTAGAATCCTACCACAAGCATATCACATATGGCATCTTTGAGAAAGAAGCCAGAATGTTTTTGTGAACCTAGTACTTTTTCTCACTGATACAGTCATTTACACTTTCGTGCTGAAGCTTAGCCCTGCATTCACACCTGCCATTCCAGCAATATTTACCATCGGAAAGCAGTGCTGGTTTCAAAGCAGAATCTTGACTTAACCAAGAGTTTTATCAATGAAAGTGATGGTAAAACCAAATTCTCCAGTACCTCGTACACCTCTGGCACGATCACTGCACAATGTATTCAGTCTCTTCTCCAGAGCTGTATCATTTGCACTGACAAAATGCTCGAAACGGTCTAAGTAAGAATCATACGTCTCAGCCACCTTTATCTTATCCAACATCGTCATGGCTGTGGCTAAAGAACAGTAAAAATGCAGTTATTGTATTGTAACCTTTCCGACATTTCAGCACCTGTTGCTGCGTTGCCAAGCCCACACCCGTTGCCACTTCTAAGACGCTGTACGCGCCACCTGCAGGCATTAACTGCTTCAGATAAATGGTTGGTGCAATATTCAGGCAAGACCTCTAACAACATGCTCGTTCCAGGAACGCCTCCCATAGGTGCCGCCTCTCTTTGGGTAGTCAATGCACGGCAGGCCCAAGCGAAGGACGCCTAATTCTCCATCACCATTCTAACTACTTGGCAGCAGCACACAGGTCCACAACACCAGATCGTGTTAACACATCAATACATTCCAGCTTTATATGCTCCAGTGACTGTGACCTCACGAAGTTCTGAGCAGTAGCACACGCTGGCCAGTGTTATAATCATTCTGCTAGGCTAGAACTAAAGGCCACAATGTTTTTTCAAATTACAGTCCTTGAATTATTAGTACGCAGCTGCCACAAGTGCTAGCTGCACAGCATTTTAGGGGCCTTGAAAGTCGTCCATGCACAGATTTCATATGGCGGGTTCACGCTAAAGAAGTGTGCGATGGGCACCAATACAAGGATAGTATTGCACAAAGACGGTTTCTAAAACTTGAAAGTGTTGAAATATTTAAATTTAAGTACATAGCTGAAAATTTATTACAATTATCAGCATTTATACATTAGTTCGGGAATGTGAGGCTGATTCCCAAGCTGCGCGAGAATCTATGCTATCGTCTCGCCAAGGGAACGGATGCTTCTGTCACCGGAACTTCTCGGGTGCTACAGTGATGGTGGAAACAGCATGACACAATTCTCTGAGTCACAAGTATATCGACGGCCATCGAAAACAGTAAGTCGATAAAGTCTATTAAACAATAGTGTAGATGTTGTGCACCTATCTACCTGGCCAGACTTTGTGTCTACAAACGCGTACAAGCTTACTCCAAACATTGACGTCATCAAAGCTTAGTTAATAGACCAGTGGGAGCTTAGCCAGCAGGAGCCGCTAAGTGCCACAATTACGTACTTCGGTTATTTGCAGTACTGAACATATATTTAGCACAGGTTTTAAAACTGCAGCAATCACTGCACAAGCAAAAAATTATGCGATTGTAGAATTGATTCAAATATTTTAAGTAGTCATTCTCTTCATTATATTCTGGCTCGAAACTCTCAAATAACGACTAATTTACCGCCTTCTTTTGTTGATTGAAACATCAGAACTTGTGATCTGTCCCTCTACCGGGCTCTGAAAGGAAGCATTGTTTTAACGCTATCTGAGGCGTCCCTTTTATTTCATCCTTGTGGCACCACCTACTCGAATACATGTGTATAAAAATGGCATATTCTAAAAGCACACACTTCTAAACCATTTTCTTTGTCTAAGGGTCGTGCGTCTGGTAACTACTTTCCGCGAACTACAATTGACAGTAATGTGTATTGTCATAAAACACCACACAATTTGTTAGGATAAATCACTTGCCTCTTGAATTTTTCGGGGGCGCCCACGCTGTAAAGAGAATAAAATGGCAATAGCAGTTTTAAAATACCTCGCGAAACTCAATCCTCAAGCAAGTTTTTAACGAATGTATATAGCAAGACAGTAGTGTTATTCAGCGTGAACAATAATCAAGAATTGTCACTATGAACATCTAAGCAACGCTTACCTTTACACTGAAAGTTCTAGAAAGATTGGAGTTCGAATGAGGCAATACCAGGTTTTTTTTCAATGGTACTGTAGTTGTTGTTTTTTCGCTTACCCTTTTTGCATTGTATACACTGAGGTGGTTTCGTCTTGCAGTACAGACACTTTATATATGAGAAACAATTGTACATCTGACCGCCTGCCCTATTTCCTCCCGTCTTGTTCTTTCCCCAAGATGCCAGAGCGCCAGAACTTTGGTGTTGCTTTTTCGTCGTCACAGTCTACCATTACGGCGAGCGCAAGGAGCTACCAAAAGTTTGACAGGTACGTGATGTCAACTACATTACGGTGTACGTTCCCATTTTTTCTTCAACATTTTTGAGAGTCCGCTAGAAGTGACGTTGATGGGCGACACTAGCTTTAATAGAATGGTTGGTAGCGGCCACGCTGCGACGTCATGATAGATGTAAAACGCTTTTCTTGTCTACTTTGGCTTCTCCGTGGTTGCAACAGTGGGCAGTGCATGGCCTTCAAAAGACGTCAATTAAATTCCTAAGTTGCATTTTTATCATCTGATGCTGTTTGGAGTCGTATTGTTCTTTTTTTGCTTTTCAGTCATCACCGAGACAAGGCAGGTGCCTGCTGACACGTTGCACATAGAGAATCTCGGATAGACATAGTCCTCCCAATTTTGTCGCCTTCATTCGGGTCGACGTGACCCTATGCTCGATGAGGGAATGACTGCGCTTGAAACCACCAATAAATCAGCTCAGCACGCGGCACGCGTTACTCACTCACGTCGTGAAATTGCGCTCTTGGTTTAGTAACAGTCCAGTCCACTGTCGCCTGCATGCCTAGCTCCAGTAATTGTTTGCTGGCAGAGTAAAGTTTGCAGGTCAATAAGGTGCAAGGCGCAGTTGCAGTCTGAAAGTGGTGACCCCTACTGAACTTTAGAGTTGGTAGAGGTATAGTATAACTGGATGGTAGTTCTAACCTGGTAGTTCATTCCGACCAAACTGTAGCTCAAGACTGGGTGCCTGCAATCCACATCGGGCTGCTGCCATGCATTCGAGGTGATCTGTGGCCTCTGATCATTTTGACTAGCTTATCAGGGCCCCACGATAGGCCTAGAACTTTTCCGTTCACCACCCAGTTAACGGCACTGCTCTGGAAGTGGCGGAGCTACGGTTCTTTTCTATTGCCAATCATTGCGGGGCGACTGGCGAAACAAAAATCACGGCCTTGCCGAAGCGAGAAAGGCCTTGGTCATACGAAACCTGCAAGAGGTCTCAATGGTACCCTTTACAGTTCTCGAGTAAGCTTGCTTCAAAATAACACGAGCCCCACATGGGTGGCTTACGGGCTAAGGTACTCGGCTGCTGACCCGTAGGTCGCGAGGTCGAATCCCGGCTGCAGCAGCTGCATTTCCGATGGAGGCGGCAATGTTGCAGGCCCATGTGCTCAGATTTGGGTACACGTTACAGAACCCCACGTGGTCGAAATTTCCGGAGCCCTCCACTGAAGCGTCTCTTATAATCATATGGTCGTTTTGGGACGTTAAACCCCACATATCAATCAATTAAAATTACACGAGTTGGTCAAGGCCAACACGGTGCTGGTTGCACACTGTAGTGTCATCGTCATCGCTATGCTTCATCATAATCATTCACCCACCAACACGCCGCGCGTCTTGGTCAAATGATGCGAAAGTGCGTGATAAGTTCACCCACCTGGTGATTCGGAACACTAGCAGCCGCGGCGCTCTGTTTCAGCCGTCGTAATAACGTGGTGACCTTGTCTGGGCCACTTCGACCACCTTTACGACGTCGTTTCACGTCTCTCTGTCACTCAACACCAAATGCCCGGAAGGCGGTGTCAAAAATGAATTTTCGCACGGAGCTGAACAACAGAACGGTATAACTTTGAAGCGCTGTTGGGGAGAGAAAGTAGTCACTGCCCATCATGTAGCGGTATCGTTGTCTAGGGGAACTTAAGCAGCACCTCAAGTGACTCACGTGTCGATCGTGTCACGGGCGAGAGGATGCCGCAATGGGAAGCACCTACTCTGTCGCCGAGCAACAGGACGTTGCGCGCTATCTAGACGAGTCCACGTACACTTTCTACTGTGCCTCCACGATCCTTGAGGTGCAGCTGCAAGTGCTTCATTGCTTCATGAAGTAGATGGGTGCTGGTCTTCAAGATAACAAAAAAAAGTTGACGTTGTTCGATAGGCAGAAAAAGCTGGGAATCTGGCAACAAAGGGATACAGGGGGCTTCACTCAGTCTAAAGGTTCAGGCTTCATAGACTGTGCCATTGCACCGCAAAGATACAAAGCCGCCCGTACGCTGGGCTGGCGGTCATTTTTGTCGTTTACGTCGCTTTGCTTCTCGTCCCGGTCGCCATGATTAAAAAACAATGACAGCCCAAGAGTCACCAAAGCCCGCAAGGAATCTTCTTAATTCGACTTTTCATGTAAACCTAAGCCCGTGCAATGCTCTAGCCAGGATAGCGGAGTTGTGAACATGAAGACGTTGGATCTAGAGCATATGCGTAATCAAAGACCGCTTCGTGCATTTTTGTTGCTTTCTTTGCATCACTATGTGTGTTTCTTTTTTTCTACTGAGTCAGCATCTACACAAGTTTACTAACCTATCAAGATTACTGCAGATGACACCTTAGTGGTGTGTACTGAGATTACTTTAAATTATGCTGCGTGTACTCTTCGTTGATTGTGATGGTTTTATTGGAAGGGCATGCTCTTCATGCTAATCTTGACCATCATTGTTAGTAAAACATCCTGTTTACCTGCATGGATGTACCTGTGCTCGCCTTTCATTTTCCTCAACTCGTGGAGACGAGCGCTGAACGAGGAAGAAACACAATCCGAAAAAGGCAAAGAGTGATGCAAGCCAGGAAATCATTTGCATCAACGAGCGTGTGTATCACTGCTTTTATGGCACCGCTTCGAAAAGTTCCAACAGAGGCCTGCCTGGCGTAAAGTATGTGCAAATACAACAACAAAATTAATTTTGAGCTTCTGGGTTGGTTTCAGGTTTTTCTATCTGTAGAGGGCTTCTACCCTAGGGAACCCGAACGCTTTGTGTGCAGCCTCAAGGTTTTGACGACCTTCCATAAAAAACGTTGCTCTCAAATTAAGCAATTCATTAAATTGATAAGCGCAACAGTACGGCATACTTTGTGAAAGAAACTAATCGGTTATGTTGCAGTATTTGACTGCAAAATTGATATTGCTACAGCGCATGCTTTGTTGTTTAGGTGTTGTTTGTTACTGCCACGTTTTCATAAATATATCCAACATTCTTCATAGCATTCCCTACGACAGGTCTAGGGTTATGCTACGGTTTTGAAGCTTATTTTCATTAGCCATGTTGTGCTACGTTTCTACGACACTTATCAAAGAATACGCGAAGATTTGAAATACTTGCCCGAAGCGGACCAAAAGTGCGACGGTAGGCTTCACGAAACTGGAACGAATACAGTACAACAACCAGGTGTCAAGCATAGGTGTAGTAAATATTTGCTTCTGTACGTTAAAATAACAGTTTACCAGTGTCTCGTGAATTGTGTATGAGATTTTCTGAGAACAGGAAAACATGGTATTCACTAGAGGTCGTCAGAATAAGTACTGTTGGAGCAGACGTGTTAAGATAAATAAAGACATATTTCAGGACAGAAAATAAAAGGAGCAGTAATTGCTTTCTCAACACTGAAAACAGGTGGTTGTGATAAAGGGGGGGAGTATGAGTTCTTCTGGCAAAAAGGTAATTCCTACTTTCAAATTGTGAAAGTGTTCTCTAGTAATAATTGTGCTCCAAGTAAGTTCACCCAACTTCTTAAAAAAAACGAAACACGAAAAAGCACAACTGCCAGTTCCATTTGAAACGTCCTGAGTTATTCAACCATTATTTCGTGAGTGCGCGGGGTTGCTTGCCACTATAGAAACCGTTGCACCCAAAACCTCTTTTGAAAGTAGAAAATAAATAATGCGTTTTTGTAACTTTCGATTGTTTTGTACACAATACCCGAAATTCCCAGTTTAACAATAACAAAGAAGAGTAAATATTTCACTACGAACAGCGCATAAAGCCAAACTTTCATGAAAACACAACATTCAACTTACACTGCGCGTCGTAGTATCTTTAAATCTTGAGCGAGTGCTTAAAAAATTTTGAGCACACTGTCTACAGTCCAAAGAGTGTTCTGTCTGTTGAGGCGCGGTACACGCATCTTCATTTTTGCGTGAATGTGCAGATTGTGGAAGGTTACAGGGGAGACGTGTGTGTGTGGGAGCCATCTAACTAACTCGACTGCTACAACAAGACGTCCGAATCTTACGGAGGCGCGTCACCTCTCGCGTCGCTCTGCCACCACATGGTTCGTGAGAGTGAGGATGGCAAGATAGCCGAGTGTATGAACGAAAGAGCGTCTTCTAACGACTGGTCCATTTTTAAAATTTATCCGTGAACTATGGTAGACCTTTCAGCTGGAGGTTCCTGCGAAGAACAAATTGCAAGTTCCTGGTACCAATAATGAATTTTTACTGAAAAATTATGTGCTGGTTTTTCTAGCCTGACGCAGGAAATCCGCTTTTGAAAATTGTCTCCAACCATTCTGAACTTCGGTAGAATGGCACTGTCACGTCTTGTATTGGTCACGCAATGAGGAAATTGCGTGTTTATGCCATTAGTACTGTGTTTCTGGAGCAATTTGTTTGGTTGAGCAAGGCTGGGTACCTCCTGACCGTGATGCGGGCCTCAGGCGCACAGCTAAAAAAAAAGCTAAAGGAATGAAATCACCTCCTTACTCTAAATCAGAAGCAAAGTATTCAATTAAGGCAGCAGTAATTTTGTATGTTCAAAGTATTTACCACATACTTAGAAATGTGGTAAAAAACTACCGAGTACAAATGATGTTTTGAGCAGAAAAAAAGTAGAAGGCGTGTGTTTTCGGCAAAACATTTTATGTGTAAAGAGAGCTAGGGACAATAAAAGGCAATAACATTTTGCTGTTTGAAGATTGCACTAAAATGTGCTATATAGCATTCGTAGCACATGTAACCATCGTGCCTAGGGCAGGCAGGGTGATGCTGCAACGCAAAACTAAGGGGGACACTTATCCAGTGCTGATAGCTCACGCAAACACACATCTGGCTAGGCATTGTCAGGGACAGTGGGTGCAAACCTCAGTCTATTAAAGCTGGCTTCTTGTTTTAACCACCCGAATCAAAAAGCGAGGGCATTGCGAAAAGTCAGTTGATCGCAAAACATTAAGAAATGTGCGTCGGCTACACTTTGGTTTTCATTACGAAAAAGTTCATTCCGTTGATACGACACAGTTTTGTTTTTTCTACTTTCTGCTGATAGTCTGTTGCTGCGAGCGCTCTAATGGCATTCATTATCACGATAAATGATAATCATATGCGACAACGATTTTTTTACGAAACCGCATATATGACGTTGGCTACTTAAGCAGATCATTCACAAAAATAAACCAGTACTTACATTGCGCTTGTTTATTATATCTTTCGATTCATTCTTCTTTTTGTCGCGCAAATTGGCTAAAATATCAAATGGTTTCATCTAGGCGAGCTATTAAGTTATGAATGTTTCGGCAAGTTGTTAGGACATAACTGAAAGTGCGAACAACGCCACCTAGTAGTACTTGTAGCGTAACTTCGGAACTACTAAAAATGAACAGCAAAGGGTG